ATTATTATACTTATTATAATTTTTGTATTGATTAATTTTAACAAGATTGATTAAAAATTTCTTATAAATAAAGTGATATTTCTATAAGATATCTTGAATTTTATATTATTTGCTAAAATGGAAAGAATGAAATCATTGAGTATTTATTTTCAGAAAAGGAGATTCGATGAAATTGATATTTGTGAGATCGCAATGTCAATTCGCAGATTGGGTATCACGTGGAATGTTGAGTTTGTAGTCTTGGAGGATATCTTTGCGAGTGAAGATGGGATTTACTATTTTGAAAATTTTGATGTGATATCCACTCGGGATGATAAACAAAAGGATGAATTATTGAAATTAGTGAATGAAAAGTTGGATGAGATACGTAATTACGAGGTGAATGATTTGATTGAATATCACAAATTATTGAATCAAGATCACAAAGAGTTTAATTATTTGATTGAGAAAATGGATGGTTTGATTCACGATGGAGTTGGAATTGATATTCATTTATTGATGGATAAACAGGATAAAATGATCAAATCGATTGATAAATTTATTAAATGTTTGAGAGGCAGGAAGATGTATTATAGGTTGCGTGAAGATCTTTATTCCGAAAATGAAGATTTTTGAGATCACGTGAATAAACAATTTTCAAATGTCATTTTTAAATAAACTTATGCGATTAAATAATTATATCACGTGTGGGCATTTTGGCCACGTGTGATATTTAAATGAATATTCAAAAATTATCAAACATGGTTAGAAGTTTTGATTCAGATGTCGAGTGTGGTTGGACGCTTAATATTCAAAATTACCAAACATGGTTAGGTGCTTGAGATTCAAAATTACCAAACATGGTTAGGTACTTGAGATTCAAAATTACCAAACATGGTTAGGTACTTGAGATTCAAAATTACCAAACATGGTTAGGTACTTGAGATTCAAAATTACCAAACATGGTTAGGTAGTTGAGATTCAAAATTACCAAACATGGTTAGGTAGTTGAGATTCATATATTGAAATCATTCGACGTGGTTATGTAAATTATATTTGTAAGTGTTTTATATGATATTGATTATACTTTATCATTCGTGTGTACGATATTAATTAAACCATCGGATTCATGTGGTAAGATGAGAGTTTGAAATTCTATAAAAGGACATCTGATTTGAATGTTTGAAGAATCAATTCTCAGGATATAAATTAAGGTATGAGATGAATAATATTAAATTTTGAATAAAATCAAAAACGTAGAATTTGATTTTAATAATTTGTAATTTTAGGATGGATAAATTCAATGAATTGAAAGATTATTCATCGCAGATGATAGGTAATATTCAGAAGATGGAAGAAGATTTGAAGGTGCTTCGTTCTTCTAAAGAAAAATCTGTTGCAATGTTATATGCATACAATCTTGTCGCTAATTCAAGCTATAGTTCTGTGGAGCAAGTTGACCAAGAGATTGATCGAATTAATAAAGATCTTCTTAGATTGGAATGCGATAAATCATTAATTGAAGGTGACATTAAGTATATTTCGATGTGCATTTTGATAGATGGCTCAAAGAATGTGTGGTTGAATTTCGTGGATGAAGGGGATGAATCTTCATTTTATCAAGTTCCGAGTGGTCAACTGGAGATGAAATTAGGTCAACGTGAGAGTTTTGAGGAGTGTGCGATTCGCGAGGTGAGAGAGCAAACAGGAATTGTGATTCTTCCTAAGAATCTTAAAAAGGTCACAGAGCATCGATATGTAATGGTCGGTGGATTGCATATCTGTAATATTTTTTTGACATGTGTTCATGATATCATACCGGGGGATGATATGTGGAAGAAGTTTAATTATAAGGAGCTTGATAAACTTGATTACCCATTAATATATTCCCTGAGAGCGGTATATGATGATATTAAATGTAATATTCGTAGTCTTAGGATAAATAATAGAAGTAGTATGAAGATAAAAGTGATGAATGGTGAAAGGGATGGCATCAATGGTAAAAAGAGAGCACGTAGTGAATCTGATGATGATGATTCCTCCGATGACTCAAAGAGAGTCAAGTTGAGATAAATTGTATTAAATAATATCTGAAAGAAAATAAAGTGAACCTCACTCAGTGCTATTGCACCGGGTTGAGGAGTTATGTGCGTAACTTTGTCATGATTTCATATTGTTCGATTTTTGAAGAATGTGTCAAGTTGATTAATTTGACATATCAATTTATTTTACTTATTATATTTGGTATAGTGGGTCTCTTAATTGTCAAGATGAAAGAGTTTAACGTTGTTGAGTTACTCGGTGCTAGTATACCCGTTATTCGTCCGAAGGAAACCAAGTTGATCATTGTGACAGGAGCAATCGCGGTGGGAAAGACAACTTTCGCACGAGATCTACTCAATCATCTTATCAACCAAGGATATCATGTGACATTGCGTGTGGAGGTGGCACGAACACTTGAGAATGAATTCCGATTATATCAGGGTGATTCGGAAAAATATGCATGCTTCTTTCAGTATGCGATGATCCGAGCATATTATAATGAGATGAAAGAGATCAAGAAATTGAAAAATTATGATTATATCATTCTTGATAGAACTTATCTTGATACGATTCCTTTCATGAACGTGATTATTCCAGATGGAGATATAGAAGTCTTGGAGATGCTTAATGATGAATTGAGTAAGATTGAGTTTCCATTTGATGTCGCGAAGGTGATATATCTAAAGCCATCTTGTGATAAGATGTTAGATCGTTACAGGATTCGTGAGCTTGATGAGCGTGTGAAGGATGGTGGTGTGGATGTGGGTTATGATGATGATTATCTTATGGCAATTTATGATCAATATGACTTGTGTATGGATAAGATGTATTCGAGTTATATGAGGGTTGTAAATGATGATGAAGGATATGATGAAATTTTAAATCAAATTGTTATTTAATATTTGAATTATTGATTATTGATTATATATTTGAAATAAAGATATCTCATCCGGTGATACATTCACCAGGGTGAGAAAAAAATTGCATAAAGATGGAAATGATAACACGTGAAAATTTATTGATTGGTGATTGTGATTATGATGGTGTACAATTTCATTTTCTTCCTATTGATGTTGATGAATCAACATTATATGGAACCGGTGATTATGTATTGAGATTACATGGAATTTTGACAAACGGTCGTAGGATGCGAATTGATGTGTGTGGAATTAAACCATTTTTCGATATTCTGATAGATGGGGTGAATGTGGATGATATGTTATCAGAGATCGAATGTGAATCACATGAGGTGATTCAAGCAAAACCGATTAATTTATTTTGTGGAAACACCAAGGAATTTGTTCGTTTTTACTTTAAGAATAGTGGAATTCGATCGAAACAATTGAGGATGGTGAAGGATCGATATGTGACATACTCTAACGATCTTACATTTCACTATCGCAAGGTATTAAGAGAGGGTAAGATTGATGTGACACGATGGAAGATGGTTAAATCAAGTGAATTGATGTATGGAAATAATCAATATCGAAAGGTGTTAAAGGTTCATCTTGATCATATAATCAATGGTCAGAATCCCCCAAAGAGGGATCGAATTATGATTCTTTGTTGGGATATTGAGACTTATAGTTCACGTGATGGTGGTGAGGTTCCAAAACCAGAGTATGATGAAGATGAGGTATTCATGATGTGTATGACGGTGCATTGGTATGATGAGAATGAACCAATTCGAAAGATTTGCTTGTGCACTCAGGATTTGAATGAATG